TGACGGAGGGTCCAATAGATCCGGTAATAATTCTCATTGTCAGTATGGCTCATCTCTAGCTTGCGTAATCATTTTGTCAGCCCTTGTCATTTGATATGCTTTATTGGCTAATATTTATATTTTGCCTCAGTATTATATAAATATGCATTACTATGCCAAGGAATTTCATTTGACCTCGCATTCTTTGCTTCTTTCACTAGACCGGACTTCAGTCTGGACTCCAACTTGGTATCATCATCAACTCCAGTGATAGTTGAGCCTTGAAAGTGCAGGTTAATTGGTAAAAACATCAGCCACTAAGCCATATAATCCTAGACATAGCGGTTAAACGATATACACGGCTTTCCGGGCAAAGTCAGCTTCTCCCACCTCAACTCGGATGAGACAAATATTAACGTCGAAATACGAGTCAACCTCGGAAAAGAATGCATGGCAGAGAGAAACTAAATATCCAATCGAGCCTTTTCTTTAAATAATCATTGGCAGAATCGCAATTCGTTCTTTTACAAAATGCAGTTAAAACAAATATTTTCTGGTTGCGACCATCATTACTTTAACTTATTGCCGTCTAAAAAACCGCGTCACTACTATTGAGTAGCGTTAGTGATTTTAATGATTTAGTACACTTGCAAACGTAGGAGTAGCTAATCGTCCCCTGTCCTGATGAGGGGTTAGATAAGAGTAAGCCATGATAATATGGTTCATTACTTATGGACGAAGGCCTGAAATAAATTCTTTCCTTATATAAGTCCACTCAAGAAACTATAACTCGGGCATTTTAGACAAATTTTATGTAAATATTACAATTATTTTTCCACTTTCTAGCAACTTCTGAGCACAATAATAAGCACTAATTATGAAAGCAAATATGTTTTTCATTGTAGAAGGAATTGTCTTTATCCAAAGTAATACAAGTTGAGGCTAGATGAATTGTGCTTTAATGGTATCAGTAGGTCTGACATTGCAATTGAATTCCACCTTATTTTGCATTCGACAAGGCTTGCTCTTCCATGGCGGACTGCAGAATCTACCTGCATGAATCTCAGCAACACCTCGACCAAATATCGAAACCAGATTCTACAGTCCCTGTTTTTGACATTTCCAATTTTCCATGCGTGACAGCGGGCCACAGAGCAGATGTGTATTTCAAAGAATAAGCCTTCTGAGATCATATCACATATATTTATGGGAGAATCGTCGGGAATGCGGTATTGTTTCTTGCCATTAAAATCGGCCATGTTATATATTGTTTTCGTTATTGAGTAGGCTTTCGAAACTACCAGTAAATCAGATTTCCGTGTTGTGTTCACCCTATTTCGTTTAAGGTGATGAGAAACTGGTAATTAAATTTTCCCACAGTTATATGAGTAAAGCTGGCACTTCCATTGAATTTCAGATAGCCCTGATTTCCTAAAATGTGTTCTCATCCATAATGGACTGCAGTCTTATGAACATCATAAGTGGTAGTCAGGATTACAGGCTGCACTATCATGGTTCGACTCCCAATAGGGGTGTTGATAAGACCTATGCAGGTCCTGGATGAGAACAACCTTAGGGACAGCAAAGCTATGTGAAATTCAATGGAAGCGTTAGCTCTGCTCATATCATTGTAGGAAACAGAAACGAACTGTCATGTACTAACATCAGTGCTACAAGAGTGATATTGTGCATGATTTAAAAGGTTTCCGATTTTTGAGCACAGTCAGGAAAAAAGAGATTGAGAGTGGATGAACGTCCTAGCTGGACGTTCGTAAAGCAATTTCAATCTGCGATTCGCAAATACGCAGCAGTCATGCCCCGCAATAGCGTTGCTGCCATGCCGATGCAGTCAACCCCTATTAATTCTTCATGTTGACTACTTTGTAGAATAAGATGCTATGCCTCTGAGTGGTGAAGGACGGATGACCTGGCTAAATTTTAACAGTGGGTATAGTTGATCGTTGATATAGTTCGTGGGTTAAGCCTAAGCATGGAAATTGAGAATGAATACCATTTTATCAAGCAAGGTATCGAGATTAGCTGACATTTGCAGATGCCTTTATCCGCTCACAAATAAACTTGGTGAAGTCTAACCAAATTTCTTAACCTTCTGCAGGTCACTTTATATTTTTGTCCCATTATTCCAATTTTGCGTTTCTTAACTTATTTCCTGCATTCAAGGCCTTTTGTTCTAGGAGATAAATACGGTTATATCATCCAACTTTTGGGATCCTTCTATTTGATTCCATTTTATTCACCCATTTAACACCACGTAATTGTCCTCCCTGAAATAATTGTGTTAGCAAGCTAGAAGCTTCTCTTTCGTCATCTAAAACTTTTATTATCCCACAAATTCTCTCAATCCATTCCCGTATTTATATTCATTTTAATAATTGATGACCATCTGCCGCAATATACAAGTTTATTCTTCACTCTTGTAAAAAAGTAATCATTGAGAAACATCAAGATAAATGCAGCCAATAGTTTCGCTTGCTTTGACAGCTTACATGTCCAAGTATAATCATTATTTAACGGTTTTGTATGAAATCACCTAAATATGAACTTTCAAATATTAATATTAAGTTTCACATCATTTAGAGCAGGTTATTGTGCCCATGTAAAAAATAATTTGTTTTCAATAAGGTATCCTAGATAGTTATTTGGAATACCTCTGAACCAAAGCAAAAGTGAAGTTAGAATAGACTCAAAATCAACATACTCTTAGTTCTGCTATATATTATTTAGTTAAAGTAACACATTGGTTGAGGCTGGACAAGATTTTTTTTGATGAAAGAAGGTAAACTTGACAAAAAGGGTATTGTTAAGGAATACACTAGAACGATTCATTATCTTATCAGTTTAGCGTATAGTTACAAAGCTGGTGATAGTTAGCAAGATGCATGCTAACCTCAAAAGTGAATATATTTGAAAGGAATTGGGAGTTAGGATTAATTTAAGAAATAAAAGTCATGTAAACAAAAATATTCGTTTATTTTTAAATCTTTTGTCCTTTATTTTTATTTAGTATTTTCAATAGTACTCGTTTAAAAATTACTTTTTCAACGTCTTCTAATTAGTTGCTGCGCGTAAATCGTCATCTAGTTTAGTTCCGCCGTTTTCAATAATTGACCTTCCCCCTCATGAGTCAATCTTCCTTTTTTCGCACACTTACTGAAGTCAGCTCTTCAGATGGTTCTTTGTCTCGTTCTGTCCTCACTGCGACATTAATTCCACAGTCCAGTCGGTCCGAATCTTGGTGTGTTTATTTTTTTTCTTACTATTTAGCTCGAAAACTCCTATTCGTCCCAAAAACAGCCGACCTTTTACCCCTACATCCTGTTCTGTATTGCCAAAAAGTTACACAAAAACTCCAAAGACCCCCCTGCAAAAGACACCTAATAAGAATAATTTTACAGCAAGAGACGCAGACAGATTTATTCCTAATCGTCAGGCCACTGATGTAGAGAGGGGCCATTACTTCTTACTCCAAGAAAATGCCATCACGGATGAAAATGCAAATAATACAGACATTGAGTACAAACAAGCTGTTGTTGAGAGCATCTGTCCCAATAACGGCCAGGGAGATAAAATCCTTGGTTTTATTTCCAAACAGGCCCCTAGACCAGTTTTTGCCCCACTTCATAATGTGCCAAATGCCCGTAAAAAAGCCGTTTCCCAGCGTTTCATTCCAAAAGTAAACTGATTATTTTAATTTTTTCTTAGAGTCCTCAAAAAATACTTGACGCTCCTGCTTTGGTGGATGATTTCTATTTGAATATATTGGATTGGTCTCTGGACAATAATCTAGCCATCGCATTAAATAACGAAGTATACGTATGGAATGCTGAAACTGGAGATATAAACTTTCTTATGCATACGGATTTGGAAAGTGATTATGTATCAAGCCTTATCTGGTCCCGCGATTCCCCTAGCGTCATATCTGTCGGAACTAGCTCAGGAAGTGTTCAGTTGTGGGATAGTACCCAATCTAAGCTAATGAGGACGATGATCCCTTCAGGCTCAAATGGTTTTTCGCGCATTCCTGTGCAAGCTTGGCATGACCATATCATTTCTGCTGGATCTAGGTCTGGAGGGATATCCCACCATGATATCCGCATTCCTTCACATGAAATAGGGTCGTGGGGGCTCCATATACAAGTTAATATCCTTTAAAGTTTAAACTTGTGTACTTTTTACCAGTTTTATTGATGGCTATGATTCATTTCTATAATAAGGAAGTCTGCGGTCTTGCTTGGTCGCCTGATGGTCGAAACTTGGCTTCCGGTGGCAATGATAATACCCTAGCCATATGGTCTTCTGATGAGATCCCAAAGCGCACTAATGCAAAACCTATGCACACTTTGTTAAATCACAAGGCCGCGGTCAAAGCTATCGCGTGGTGCCCATGGAAACCAACCTTGCTTTGCTCGGGGGGTGGCAGTGCGGATCATCATTTAAGATTTTGGAATGCCGGCACTGGAAATGCCCTACAGGCCTTTGACGTTGGAGCCCAGGTATCATTTCAATCCACATTTTCTACTCCATACTACTAAATATTGTTAAGTGGTTTTAAAGTGGTTGGCCTTACTTGTATATTTAAAAAACCTAGCAACTGTGCAGATGTGTATGCCCCCGCATCTATTTAAGGGAATCGCTTTGTAAAAAAAACTTTTTGGGTGGTCAAGAACTTCTCTGGTTAGTAATGTCAGAGACTAAATAATCTTATTTACAGTAAACATATAGCGGATTAGATATCACTGTCTGTAATAGTGATTTCTGCGTATTTGCCTGCAATATATCCTATATGTGACATCACGTGTGAGCACCTTTGGGACTTCACGTGCCCTTCATGCCTGGTATTGTTCTGGACCTATATATAAGCCATTCTACCATTCCTCTATTTTTTCTACATATCTCAGTTGAAATGCAGTTTTGAT